ACGAGTGTCTGTCGTACGGATCATAGTGATGCTGACCATACTGGTCGAAAGTAATGATTGGATATGCTGATCCATGTACAGGGCCTCGCAACCATGTTATTTCTGGTGAGAGGCTATCAACGGTTACATTACACTGCAAAATGGCGTCAGTGCCGTTAATGACTTCAACATTTGAACCAACCAGTAAACTCGTACTAAATACACCTTAAATGAACCAAAATGATTCCAGTTATATGTTTCATTGATAAATATCATTGAAGATTAATCATATTATGTAACACTACGTGAAATTGCGAAAATACAGATTGTATTCATCAGTAGATTAGCCTGTATTATCAGAAATTCAATGGGAATACAGGGAAATGTAACATTTTATTCATGTAAATACAGTGTGAATACAGGCTGTCTTCACGTGTATTTGCAGTCATTTAATACAGGGATAATACACTTCATTTATTGACCTGCATTCACAGTAAATGCATTCCTGTATTTACCTGCATCAGTGTTGTATTTCCTGTGAACAAATGTTGATACAGGAAGTCTATTATTCATGTATTAATTTAGTGTATAGATACAGATTATTCATTCATGCATACTTGAGCAGCTTAATACATGGAATGCATTCACATTGATTTGTATGAATACAACCTAATTCGAGATCTGTATTTTCATGCATTTATACGAAACCAGCTTATTTCAAACCCTGTATTTTCGTGAAATTACAGAAATATAGGGAAGCATTTATATAAAATATAGGTTGATGTAGCAATGGTAGCTGCTGTATCACATTTATAGAGGGCTACTTCATTCATGGTATCCGGGAAAAGATATTTGAACCATGGGCGTATTCCACAGAGGTGTCCCCTCTGCTATTCAGTTATTTTTAGAGTTTGCAGGATGAGATATTTTGAATCTTTCAGTCTTACTTTAATCTTCAATATCTAACACAAAATTGCTGAACCCTCAGTTTAGTTTTTACACAAAGAATTCTGTGAAAGGTAGTCATATGCCCACATGATTGGCGCATGCATTCTGAAGTAAGAATGGTGAGGACATTGTTATCTTCTTTAGAGAACTTTATGAAGAAAACAGAATCCAGATACAGTAATTTAAAATTATTAGCTGGAGCAATGATAGTGGGGTTATTCCTTGTAACTCATGGGAACAGTGGCCAGCAGTCTCATACATAGATGCATACATTCAGCACACAAATCTATATATACCTTAATATAGAAAATACATTATGATTTATTAGTACTCATCACAAAACAATGAAAACGTGTAAACACATAAATGTTTGAAACCTTTGCAAAAAATACTCCATAAATGTTAATAAATAAGACCCCACCCCTCTAGCAAAATTGAATTTGTGTGAATCCCCCCTCAAAAAATAACAATAAATGTGAAAGAATTTCTTAAAACTTGTAAATAATAACATACAATCCTCCCACACATGTAAATACTATAAGAATAAAAAAATTCGACCCCTTCCCTATGTAAAAATTAAATGTGATAAATTCCCCCCCCCCCGTAAATGTGAAAAATCCTTCAAACTTGTAAATGATAGCATAACACGTCCCTCGAATGTAAATACTATAAAATAATGCCCCCCCCCCAAATGAAAATAATAAACAAATGTGAAACATCCATTAAAACTTGTAAATGGTAACATGTCTGTGTCTCAAATGTAAAAAAAAAATGAAAACACTCCCCCACATATAGTTAAAAAGCAACACTATCAAAATTAAACACATGAGGAAACCATTCCTCAAAAAAAAAATTATCAACACACACAGCTGGTTGAATATTTTTTTGCTGGTTTTTGCCTTTCTGTAAACACTGTTGAGCGGAGTCTTTTTTTAACCAATCTTTTCATTATGCCCTTGTCATGAAGACGACGATCTAGTGAAGAGATGAGCTCATTTTGTGGAGCAGCTCTCCATCTTGGTGATTTGAGGAGGAGAGAGCCATCCTCCTGGTCCTCTTCACCGGACATCAATTCAGGGTCCACTTCTTTCCACCTGGCTCTTTCCTCTTCATTCTCTAAGACTCATGCGTCTCTGCATTGTCTGTAAGAAAACATTCGATGACATAAATACTAATGTAACAATTACAACTTATAGTAAAGTGTCAAGTAGTCAACAAAAATACAATTGTAATTGTATTACCGATAATCGGCAAAATGTTTTTTTTTATATTTAAGTTAATTTTTTTATTTCTTTTCAAAATAACAAATACACAGACAAGAAAAAAAAAAAGGCTGTACACACTAACTGGTTCACCACCAAAACATAAAGTGACGTTGTCTTATGGTGCAAAATTGGCCCATTTTTGCAAAAACAGAAACGTGGTGTTTCTTCTTATGGAAATCATATTTTCTATCTTTCTTATTCTTATTCTTATTATTACTAATTTCAGCTTTAATGGCAACAAAGGATGGTAATTCTTTCTTCATTTTGCTTGTATAGATGCATTTTTTAAAGATAATAATTAAATGGTTCAATAAGTGTGAAAAACTTTCATCACCTAGGAGAATCTGTTTT